TGTATTCAGAATGAGGCAGGAAAATACCAGCTTTTTTTAAAAAAATCCCCGTGTGATGGGAGGAATGCCCCCCCCCCCCACCCTTTTAAGCTCCGCTGTCAACTTTGTCAAGCAGAGCTTATCATATCAGTGATTGTCTGTCGTTGTTCGTGTCAACTTTTTACTTATTCGACTTTTTCTTGAAATCTACAATTGTTATTGCTTTGATACTTATTGTATATGTACCTTGGGCAGATTTCTCAGATTTGTTCATTTCGTTATGATATCTTCAAATTTCTAATTTTGATGAATTTTTGGTGAAAAGTGATATTTTTTGACTTCTTGTTAAAAACCGCAATCCAATGCTTTGATATTATACATATAGGTACCTCAGGTAGACCTCTCTCAGATCTGTTCATTTCTTAATGATATCTTTAATTCTCTATTTTGATGAATATTTTTGTAATTTTTGGTAAAAAGTGATATTTTTGACTTTTTGTTATAAAAACTGCAAATCATATACATATAGTAACTACAGGTGAACCTCTCTCAGTTTTGTTCATTTTGTGATGATATATCATTGACAATGACTGTTCAAATAAATACAATAAGCCCGCTCGACATAAGGTCAGTGATAACTGCTTATCAATGTATTTTCTCTCTACAGTTGCAACTGATCATGCTCCCGACCTAGCGCTTCGACCAGGTTTCCTAGCAACCTTTGGGATGGCAACAGATCAAGGAAGTAAGTTGGGTTTGTCAAAGAACAAGCGTATTATTTGTATGTACACAACTTATCAGGTAAGTTAAATGGCCCTACTTCTGACAAAATTGACCATTCTAGGGTGTTTTTTAGCAGATCTGTAAATTGAAAATAAGACGCAGCCATTATTCTGAATTCTGGTTGTTTTGAAAACCTAATTTGTATATTTTCAAATAATCAGTTCCTAACTGGTCAAGTCAATGTAGACGTACATGAGGCTGGCTGGATAAGGCACACAATACTGCTTTAAACAGTTTGTTTACCGTCTGGGTGTGTGGTTATTACATGTAAAAGCATCCTATTTATGGAGTGGTAGAGGGTAAAATGTGTCAAGTCGTGTTGCTAGGCGATCGGTTTGTGATGTGCATCATGTCATGTATGCAGTATATGTTTGCGTTGGTTATGTATATCTCTGGTCAAGTACATGTTTTTCATGTCATCGCTATTCACAAAGACAGTTATCTAGATATAATGTCTGAATATGGCTTTCTCTGTGCAGGTTGTCCAGTTCAACAGACTTCCACTCGTAGTGAGTGTCATTGCAGACAGTGAAACAAATACAGGTGAATATTCATATTGACTATATCGTGATCATTATTCTCTGGAACCAGTCAGAATGGGATTTGTAATATTTATAAATCATCTTTTTAGCTCCGCTGTTGACTTTGTCAAGCGGAGCTTATCATATGAGTGATTGTCCGTCGTCCGTGTCAATGTTTTACTTTTTCGACTTCTTGAAAACTTGTACTATGTACCTTGAGTAGACCTCTCTTAGATTTGCTCATTTCATGATGGTATCTTCAATTCTCTAATTTTGGTGAATATTTTTGTCATTTTTGGTAAAAAGTGATATTTTCGACTTCTTGTTAAAAAACGCAAGTCTGATTGCTTTGATATTACATATATAGGTACTACCGGTACATGTGGACCTCTCTCAGATTTGTTCATTTCATAATGATATCTTTAATGCTGGTGAATATTTTTGTCATTTTTGCTGCTTGTTTTCATTAAGCATAAATATTTAGTTTTGACTCGTGTGTTGGGTGTCTTCAAATTGTATTGTCAGCAAAATTCTGTGGTATAAAATAATGCAATATAATAAATACAACAGTTGCCGTGTTTGTAACATGTTTCTTGCTGATAATCTAATGTCACTGAGCAGTTCTGTGGATTCAGTCGTGATTGAGGTTTCAGCATATTAGGGTATCATCAAGACACAGAATGTTACCCACGATTCTCTGTTTAACTACCCAAGATGCAATATTTGTGACTGAAACATTTTCCATTAAGACTGAGATGCACATCAGAGGCTTGAGTTAACCCAATCTGATTAAAATCTGATGTAGTGTACGGGCTTTAATTATTTTGGCTATAAACTTGTTTTAATTTTATTTTTTTTACTTTTGTTATTAATGCCCTTTTATTTTATTATTTTACTTTGATTTTGATTTTTTTAATTCCGCCCTACCTACATCTGATCCGACGCCTATGTAAGT